GGGATTGTGATGCCTCCAGCTTTGTCCTTTTTACTCAGGATTCCTTTAGCTCTTTGGGGTCCTTTGTTGTTCCACATGAGTTTTAGGATTCTTAGTTCTATTTACATGAATAACGTCATTGGGATTCTGATTGGGATGGCATGGAATCTGTAGACTGCTTAGGTAATATGGACATTTTAACTCTGTTTATTTGTCCAATCCATGTGCATGGAATATCTTTCTATTTCTTTATGTCATCATTGATTTCTTTCAATAATATCTTATAGTTTTCATTGTATAGGTCTTTCACCTCCTTGGTTAAATTTACTCTGGATATTTTATTCTTTTTGTTGTGATTGTAAATGGGATTGTATTCTTGAGTTCGCTTTCTGTTAGTTCTTTATTAGAATATAGAAATGCAACTGATTTTTGTAAGTTGATTTTGTACCCTGCAACTTTGCTGTAGTTGTTGATTATTTCTAATAGTTTTCTGATATATTCTTTAGGGCTTTCTATGTCTAGAATCATGTCATCTGCAAACAGTGAGAGTTTCACTTCTTCCTTACCAATTTGGATACCTTATTTCTTTTTCTTACCAAATTGCTCTGGCCCAAACCTCCAGTACTATGTTAAATAGGAGTGGCCAGAGTGAGCACACTTGTCTTGTTCCTGTTCTCAGAGGGATGGCTTTCAGTTTTTCACTGTTAAGTATGGTGTTAGCTGTGGGTTTGTCATATATGGCCTTTATTATGTTGAGGTAATTTCCTTCTATACCCATGTTGTTCAGATTTATCATAAATGGATGTTTGATCCTGTCAAATGCTTTCTCTGCATCTACTGAGATGATCATGTGATTTTTATTCTTCATTTTGTTAATATGATATATCACATGGATTGATTTATAGATGTTGAACCATCCCTATGTCCCTGGTATAAATCCCACTTAATCATGGTGTATGATCCTTTTAATGTATTGCTGTATTCGATTTGCCAATATTTTGTTCAGGATTTTTGCATCTATGCTCAGAGATATCGGCTTGTAATTTTCCTTCTTTGTGTTGTCCTTATCTGGTTCTGGTATCAGGGTGATGGAGGCCTCATAAAGTGAGATAAGAAGTGTTCTGTCTTGTTCAAGATTTTGGAATAGTTAGAGAAGGATAGGTATTAAATCTTCTTTGAATGTTTGGTAGAATTCTCCAGAGAAGCCATCTGGTTCTGGACTTTCATTTTGGGGAGGTTTTTGATTACTGTTTGAATTTCTTTACTTGTGATTGGTCTATTCAGATTCTCTGTTTCTTCTTGATTCAGTTTTAGGAGGTTGTGTGAGTCTAAGAATTTCTCCATTTATTCTAGATTGTCCAATTTGTTAGCATATAGTTTTTCATAGTATTCTTTTATAATCCTTTGTATTTCTGTGGTATCCATTATAATTTCTCCTATTTCATTTCTAATTTTATTTATTTGATGCTTCTTTCTTTCTTAGTGAGTCTGGCTAAGGGTTTGTCAATTTTGTTTATCTTCTCAAAAGTCAGCTCTTTGTTTCATTGATCCTTTCTACTGTTTTTTTTTGTTTGTTTCTGTTTCACTTGTTTCTGCACTAATTTTTATTATTTCCCTCCTTCTGCTGACTTTAGGCTTTGTTTGTTCTTCTTTTTCTAGTTCCATTAGATGTAGTTTAAGATTACTTATTTGAGATTTTTCTTGTTGTTAAGGTGGGCCTGTATTGCCATCAATTTCTCTCTTAGAACCAATTTTGCTGCATCCCATATGAGTTAGTATTATGTATTTTCATTTTCATTTTCATTTGTCTTCAGATATTTTCTGATTTCTCCTTTAATTTCTTCATTGATCTATTGGTTGTTCAGTAGCGTGTTGTTTAGTCTCCATGTATTTGTCAATTTTCCAGCTTTTTTCTTGTAGTTTATTTCTAGTTTCATAGCATTATGGTCCAAAAAGATGCTTCATGTGACTTCAATCTTCTTAAATTTATTGAGGCTTGCCTTGTTTCCCAACACATGGTCTGTCTTTGAGAATGTTCCATGTACACTTGAGAAGATTACGTATTCTTCTGGTTTTGGATGGAGTGTTCTATATATATTAAGTTCTTCTGGTCTAGTTTTTTGTTTAATTCCACTATTTCCTGGTGACTTTCTGTTGGGATGATCTATCCATTGATGTAAGTGGGTTGTTGAGATCCCCTACTATTACTGTGTTTCTGTTAATTTCTCCCTTTAGTTCTGTTAATAGTTGCTTTGTGTACTTTGGTGCTCCTGTGTTAGGTGTACATATATTCATAAATGTGATGTCCTCTTGGTGGGATGTCCCTTTTATTGTTATACACTGCCCCTCTTTGTCTCCTATTGGCTTTTTATCTTGAAGTCTCCTTTGTTTGATACAAGTATGGCAACACCTGCTTTCTTTTGTTTGCCATGAGCTTGGAGTATTGTCATCCATCCCTTCACTTGGAGCCTGTGTTTGTCTGTAGAGCTGAGATGTGTTTCCTGGAGACAGCATATTGTTGGGTCTTGTTTTTTAATCCATCTAGCCACTGTGTCTTTTGATTGGAGAATTCAATCCACTTACATTTAGAGTGATTACTGATATATGAAGGCTTAATACTGTGATTTTGTCTCTTGTTTTCTAGTAGTTCTCTATTTCCCTTGTTTCTGATCCCATGTATTTCCAACTGCCATTTCAGTTTGGTGATTTTCTGTGATAATTTTCTCAGTTTTCTCTTTATCATTTGTGTCTTTGTTCTGATTTTTTGTTTAGTTGTTACCGTGAGGTTTGTATGAAAGGTCTCGTGGATGAGACAGTTCATTTTCTGATAGCCTTTTATTTCCTCAGTTTGAGCAGGTTCCATCCTTTTCTCTTCCCTGTTTAGGTTATTGTTGTCACAACTTATTCAATTTTGTGCTGTGAGTTTGTGATTAAAATGAAGTGACTATAGTTATTTTTGATGCTTTCCTTCCCTTTATCTTTAATGTTATAATTAAGTGTTTGCTAACCTGTTCTGATAGAGAGCTTCAATTTTCTGATTTTGTCTATTTATCTCCTTGCTCAAGGCTTTGTAAACCTCTTCTTTTTCCTTTCAGGTGTAAGAGGCTTATTGATCATTTCTTGTTTTTTTGGGGGGGGGGGGTGTCTTATGGTGATGAAAGCTTTTGTTTATCTGAGAAAATTTTTATTTCTCCATCGTATCTGAAGTATAGTTTTGCTGGATAGAGTATTCTTGGCTGAAAGTTTTTATCTTTCAGAATTTTGAATATATCATTCTACTCTCTCCTAGCCTGTAAGATTTCTGCTGCGGAATCTGCAGAAAGCCTGATAGAAGTTCCTTTGTAGGTTATTTTCTTCTGCTGCCTGTAAGATTTTTTCTTTGTCATTGATTTTTGCCAGTTTTACTAGTGTATGTGTTGGAGAAGGTCTTTTTACATTGATGTAATTAGGAATTCTATTGGCTTCATTTACATGTAATTCCAGCTCCTTCTCCAGCTTTGGGAAGTTCTCAGCTATTATTTGAACAAACTCTCTTCTCCTTTCTCCCTCTTGAGTACCTATAATCCTTATGTTGCATTTCCTAATTTATTCAGATATTTCTTGGAGAATTTCTTCATTTTCTTTTAGTCTTAGTTCTCTCTCTTCCTCCACCTGAAACATTTTTGTATTTCTGCCCTCTAAATTACTAATTCTGTCCTCCATAAAGTCAGCTTTGTTCTTTGACTTTCAATCTATTTTGTGGAGAAATCCTGCTCATTAATATTATTCCTGAATTCATTGAACTGTCTTTCTGAGTGCTCTTTGTGATAACTATTTTGAATTCTCTGTCCTTTAGGTTGTAAATTTCTGTGACTGCAGGATTGGTTTCTGAACACGTGTCATTTTCCTTCTGGTCAGGAGTGTTAATGTGTTTCTTCATGCTGTTTGATAGGGTGGACTTTTGCCAGAACATAGTGGTAGTATAGACTAAGGGAACAGCTCACTCAGACATGATGTTGATGTCATTCTCTGAAGGTCTTGTGTTCTTTTCTTTTTGATTTCTTTCTTCTACCAGATAAAACTCAATGAACTTGGAATAAATGTGTTTTTTTTCACTGTCCTACACCTTGCACACAAGACAGTGCCTGTCCTTTAAGTGAATCAATAAAAGATTGAACAAGTTTCTATAGTGTACCTGGTAGGGTGTAAAGCATAAAACTTAGTAGTGATAAAGCTATGATACAATTGGCATGTGCACACAAACTCTTATCACCCAGGAACCTCAAGGTATGAAATGGTAACAAGAAAATACTTAATGAGGGAGTGAGGAGGATATGAGAAATTTGGTTCCCAGGGCAGGCAGGAAACATCACTGAATAAATATTTGGGTTATAAAAGAGGTGGCTGGATTCCAAGCTAGTTTTGTTTTCCCACTTGTAGAAAGTGATGTGGATTAGATGATTTGCTAGGTCTCTAAGCAACAACACTCTAGAATTCTATCTCCCAATTTTGTCCAGAACCATTCCTACAGGACAACTATTGACTAAGCTCTTCTTCCTTAGGTGTGTAAGGAACACTTACAATATTGGGGAGGTGAAAATAAAGATCCTGTTGGTAGAGAGATGGGAGAGGGTACATGACAGCCATATGCCCCATCCATGGAGTGTGTGTTCCTTATACACCTGCTAGCAGAACATCTGTTAAATGCTCAGCCCACATTGTGGTCATTGTATTGAAAATGAATTATTCCAGAATGTAAGTAATTTGCCAAAATTAAAATTTTTTATTAAATAGTAAATAAAACACACATGGAGGTATATTCTCTTGCCTATTGCACATGAGAATTTCCCACTTCTATAAAATGTAATCCAAAAGCAAGTGAAGTGGTCCAGATAAATGCTCCGTGATGCATGAAGATATCTGCTAAGCTCATCTTCTTTGGCCACTGAGCATGCAGGACCAATTAATCATTTTGACTCATATAAATTATGTGAATAATTATTAAATTTATATAAAATAAATCAATCTTCTCCATATCTCACCTAACAATATATCCAGTTGTTATTCTTCAATATATGTGACACCATCCTGGCGTTAGGGTCAACTCAAACTGTGACGATCCACTGAAGAAACAGAAAAACCCTGTAAATATAGATGAGGAAAATAATGAGACATTCTTCAAATAAATCAATTTTCCAACATGCTTAACTCAGAATGAGAGTGAGATGTTAGTGAATGGCATTTATTAAGTGGTTGCTCTAAGCCAGGCACTGTGCTACATGCTCTACATGCTTTAACTCATCTATTCTTACAATAAATGTGAGATATTGCCAATGAGGATAAAACTCAAAATAAGGAAGACATTGCAATTTTCCCAAAGTAACATCTCTAATGAAAGATGAAGAGAGAGCTCTATCTCATCTGTTTGACTCCAAAGCCAGTGCTGTAAAAATATTAGATTATACTACCTCCACATAGATCAAGTTCTGTGAGATTTTAAAACCTTAGTTTAGCCCCTTCTTCCCAATTTCCTCTTGCTCTGCTAGGTCCTAAATGGTAGCTTGAGATGCAATTGGACCCAAGTGAATCAGGCCAGCAATAAAATGGACCAGAGGTCCATTTGCTGCTTTGCATACATTACGGTCTAGTTATCTTAGTAATAAAATCATCAGCCTCATGAGCATTATGATTGTCAAGCCCTGGCAACTCCCTCCAAAATTCCTTAAGAGCAAGCACAAGTTTTGCTTTCCCATCTGTACATTATCAGGGATCAAATCTTGCCTATTTTGAGCATGTAGGAAGACTGCTATTTATTTACAAGTGAATTATTTAATGTAGACAATTGCAGGCTGCAACAGAAGGCCAGACAAGGCTCCTTTTACCTCTCCTTGGGATAGGAGAAAATGGACAGCAGGATGGGATAGAGGAGAACGACAACCAGCCATTAGTAAGTGTGACCCACACTTGGTTGTATTTTTATAGCAACATAGTGTTACCTGAAAGATAATGGTTATGATGTGAGGAAGTATCCTTTGATTTTACATACAGGCATGAAACAGAGACTTAGAAATTATTCAAGAAAATCAAAATTTAAATCCAATTGGTATAAATTGGAAAGTTAATAATTTCTGGAATTTGGAGTAAAAAGGATATAACACTGAATGATTTGAAAACTATTTTGACTCTCCATTTTAATACCATAAAATGACCCCAAAGTGTCCCCATTGGCAATGAAATGAGTGTTCTCTTCTTATATACCTGTAATACAACGTCAACCTTTGCTCATCTCCTGGAAAGTCAACAGCTATTAGCCTGGGGAAGCCTTGCTCTATAGATTGGCTGTTTTCATCAAATCTGTACCAAGTGAAAGAAATACAGCTCAACATGGTGCAGAGGCCCCATTAAATGCAACAGTATGATGTAGTGTTAATGTTCCTGGATAAAACTCTCAAGTAGTGTAAAGAAGTGTTAAACATTTTTATGACTATAAAAATATGTGACTTTCCTCGATTTATAAACTTACCACATAAAGAAAGATTTTCTCCACAAACAAGGACATCATGTTATTTTAGGAAATTCCATATGTAAGTCTGAAGCCAATTTTCTAAGCCTAGACGTATAGAACCCAAGTGCCTTTCTGTCACAATGCAGGAAGACTGAATACACATAAGATGCAAAATGAATTAAATCACTTGGCTAAAAATAAATTTTTGCTTCTCTATCACACTTGCCCTGTAGACCTCATCTCTACAGTCTGACACAGTTAGACTTCCTTTGGTGGCCCATTGTCTGGACCTCAGTTGGTCTCCTGATAGTCTTTGGTGTCTGGATATATGACCCAGTGATCAACTGTTCTGAGAGCGCTTTATCATATCTGGACAGCCGAATAACTATAAACCATCTTCCTCATAGTGAGAAAGTTCGTAGTTAGAGGAAGTTAGAGAGTGGGAGTGGAGGATATCCTCAAAGAAAGAAAATGGCTTTCTAATTAGGCTTCATACAAAGTCATCCTAGTGCATCTTAACTCCAGTATTTGTCCTCTACAAAGAAGTATGTTTTCTTCTTTTCCTTATCAGAAACAGCTGCATCAATTTTCCCTATGGTTGGAGGAAAACCCAGGGTGTGCATACCTCTTGGATAACCCCCTTGTACCTCAATTCCTGTGACAGCCCAGAACTTATTTCCTATTGAGAAAAGAGACCCAAGAAATTTTGAGTGAAGCTTTTTTTGTTTTAGAGTAATTTTAATACATTGCTGTGGAAAACAGGGAGTCTGGGTTTTAATTCAAATCAATAACCCAATGCCCACTTGATAGCTGGTATTTAATAAATATTTCCTGAATAAGTGAATGGATGAATGAGTGAACAAATAAATGAGTAGATAACTCTGGTCCACTGCCCTTTCTGGGTCTTATATTTATTATCTATAAATTAGACTGACCAGTTCTAGTTATTTCTTATAATTACTGGTGAATTCTTAATCTAAATTTCTAACCTAGAACTCTCTCTTAAGCTTCAAATCAATAAGTCAGTTACCTATTGGACACTTCCTCTTGGATATCTCATAGTCACTAGTCCAGTCTGTGCTTCTTCTGAATGCCTTAGGTGTCCACCCAAATTTGAGTGAATTAGGACAACAGAATCCTATCAGTCTCTCTGCTTTTACTTTGTCACACCACCCTTCCCACCTCACTGGATCCCCTCCTCACATCGTTGCCAGGTTAACTAACCTAAAATGCCAATCTATTGTGTCTCTTTCTTGTTTCACCTGAGCTAAATGACTTGTACTTGTCTGAGCAGTTCAGATACACTCTTACTTTCATATAGACAATTTCTTCTGCATTAAAGACTTTTCCACTCTCTACACACTCAGCCCTTCTCCACACAGTAAAGTTCTCCTTAACACTCATCTTAAACATCAGGTCGTCTCAGGGATCTTTGCTGAACCTTAGGTATGGGTCCAGTGCTCTCCTTCTGTGCTCCCATGGCATCCTGGCTTCCCTCAACTCCAGAACTTATCATATGGTATGCTGACAGCTCCATCTCTGCTGCCCTCTCTAGAATATGAACCCCTTTTAGTTTTGACTTCCGCTAATGAGCATGATGCCTGACATATATCAAGCAATAAATAAATGTTCGATAAATTAATGAATAATAGAAATACTGTAGAGTTATATAACCCCTTACAATTTCCAATGCAACTTCATGTTATTTGACTTAGTTTTCATAAAAAGGAGATTGTCAGAAATGCATATTTTTAAAAATTCCCCATACAGCTTGACATTTAAAAATATTCACAAATAACTTACGTGTCAAGGAAAAAAATTAAAAATGGAAAATTAAAAAAACTTTAAAAATGAGCAAAATGAAAATATTGCACGTCAAAACGTGTGGGATGAAGCAAAAGCTGGAAAAAAGGGATATTTATAGGCAACAGTGCTTACATTAGGAAAGAAGAAAGGCTACATGTTAATAAGGTAGATATCAAATTTAAGTTATAAAAAAACAATAATAGAATAAATTCAAGAAAGCAAAAATGAGGGCAATTGTAATATGGACATAATAATAGCCCTGTACCGGTACTACGTTATCTTATCTATTAAAGCTTTGTAATACAGGACATTTCTCCTCATCTTGCTCTTCTCCAGGAGTATCTTGGCTATTTTTGGCTTTTGCTCTTCTATGTAAATTATGGAATTAATTTGACAAAGTTTCATAAAATATATTTTAGCATATGAATTGAAAATTCCTTGTATCTATAGATAAATTGGCATTTTTAGTATATTGAATTTCTATTCATGAGTATAGGCTATCATCTATTATTTAAGTCTCATTGTATATTTAAAAAACTTGTAATGTTCTTTGTACACTTTTTATTTAAACATTAGCACTAGGTCTTTCAGTAATAAACCATCTAAAATTAAATGTAAGACATGGAGAAAATTCACGTCTTGATGAAATTTCTGCAATATTTCAACAAGTTAAAATTCTTATATAATATTTATCTTTAAAAAAATAAAAATGATATCCTTGCTATTTGCTTCATATGTAGCATCCAAGTCTGATGGAGGAGAGGGCCAAAATGTAGAAATCAAATGAAATTCAGGTTCGAGGTTCCAGTGGAATATGCACCAAAATATCTGTAATACATAAGAATTAATTATAATTATCTTTCTCTTTTAGACATGAATTTTAAAAAGAGCATGTTCTTCTCTTTCTTTCAATCAATGCTAATTCAGAAGTCTGTATTGGACTGTCCTCATCTATATGATCCCACCGTTATGGAGTCCATGACAGGAAATGTGTTAATAATGTAATGATTTACCTTGGTGTCCATTCTAAAAGTCTGTAAAACACTATGCATATTATGCATCTATTAGTATTTTTGAAAAAATTAGCAGAAAAAATATATACCTATTTATGCTTGTATGTGAATAGAATATCTTTGTAGAGAGATAAAGGAAATGGGTAGCAGTGGTTGCACTATGGGGAGAGCTGGGGATGGTAGAAGTCAGAGATGGGAGAGAGATTTTTCTTTTACTTTTATCTTTTGATGCTGTTTTAATATTATGCCATAAGCATATATAACTTTTTCTAAAATTAATTAATTTAAATAGTAGCATTTGTTAGCCAGGATAAAGATACAGACCTGTTTCTAAAGATCCACCAGTGCTCTTTAAGGAAGCTGTGTAATTTATGCCATTTAAATGCAATAATTACTCATTCATTTAGTCAACACATTCATTGCATGTGCTAGGCCAATTCTAGGCCCTGGAAATAGAAAAGTGAACAAAACAGGTAAAATTCTCTGCCTTCATTGAGCTTACATCCTAGTGTCCAAAAACCTGCCTTTGTAAGTCTATATAATATAAAAATTGATCTGGACCTTTTTAAGTAGATGATAAAGTAACTAGAACCAGATCTGAATGATGTTAAAATGTAGAGAAAATATTTTATTTAGAAATCTCTGTCAATTTTCTGTTTTCTTTTCTAAGCATTGTACATCAAAAGAATAGATAGGAAAATGCAGTTTTCTTTAAAGAACAGGATTACTCCTCTTGGAGTGCTGACTGCATCAAAGGACAAAGTAGGATCACACATGGCTGGTGTCTCAGGTCTTGGAGGGCACCATAGGGTCATCAGGAGAGGCAGGGAGAGGTCCTAAATGGAACAGATGTGAGTATACAAACATTAGGAGAAATGTGATACTTCTGTTGAATTGATATGCTTTCCAAACATTCTCAAAGTGATTTGAGATGAAGCAACATGTACCATTTTAAAGTTTTCCTGAAGACCATCATTGTGAAGCTTTCCTAAAGAACATCAAGAATGAATAGGCATTGTTTTCATCATCTCTCATCATATAGAGACTGAATGTCATTCATATCATCTTGAGAAGGGTGGAAGCTGGCCAAGTCTGTGAATATGTTGAAGATGGGCACATCAAAGCTTCAGTGTTGGTTGAGTCAAAGAGATTCAGGGAATGGCCAAGTTCATAAGAAGCAACAAGGAATAAATTGATCCCTATCTGAAAAACCATAAATGTTCAGGATCTAACAGCTATTTATTCCATAAGTATATGTACAGAACACATGCCAGCTATAAATGCCATCTTTGGACTCACACAGTGTCTTTTCCTTATTTGTGGATTCGATCGTTGATTGGCATATTCTATAGTTCATAGAAATTCATGTATTTTTTGAGGTTGTCTAGAAGTCAATATATGAGAGGTATTTTTTTTTATCATATCCTTTCCTGGTTCTCTCTTTGCTCAGGGAAACTCAGTCACTTATATTGACAGTGATAAACATTGTTTCCAAAAGATACTTCTTTGGAGGGACCAAGACTAGTAACCTGTCAATTCATGTAACTCTTTATTAACTCTATAAATAGAAAGTTGGTTATTGTTCAAACTTAGTAAGATGCACTAGTTGTAATCTCAGTTGACATAAATCACAAAGTACTCACATTATTCCTCAAACTCTTAAGCAACAAAAACTCTGGTTGTTTCCTGTGGGGATGTAGCCTGAGTTGTCTTCCTCCTCTTCATTGTAATCAAGTAAGTTTTGATTGTCAAAAAACTTCCTGGTAACAGGAGATATTCAGTGTGCACAATCTTTAATTTAAGACAGAAATGTACTCAATAACAGTTTTCTGAAACACAAACAAAGCTGGATTCAGCTTTTTTTTATATTATAAAAAGAGTTTTTATTGAAATTAATAATAGAAATTATTTAACCAAGGATCCAAGCAATTATGCAGAAAAGAATTGTCATTCAAATAAAACAAGATCATTTCATGCAGCACAAACTTCAAGTTTATACTCTCAGTAAAGATACTCTTTCCTTTTGCACTGAAGATCTCAATCTTAAAAATAACAATTGTTTTGTAGGGGAGCAGAATTTACTCCCTCAAAATGTATCTCTTTGGATTGATTATATTTAAGAACAACACACTCAGGAGGAGACTTTGACCTTCCCCCTAACTGTCTGAAAATATTTAAGATAGAAGGCCTGTTCCAGGAAGGAGCTATCACCATAGACAACTATAGAATAATATGAACTAGGTGTAGTAGACAGGGAGGAACCTAGCAAGGCCCATTTGATCAAAGTCCTCTCCATGTCCCATTGTCTCTACAGGGCATGGCAAACATTTGTTTACCAAACATTTGCTTTTCCATCTCCACATGAATTGCCTTCTTCCCCTTTAAAGTCCCAAACCACTATCCCCAACATCCTCTTTTGTCTTTAGCTGAAAATGGTATTTAAGATGGTGGCTTTACCATTTTGGCAAATTACTCAGTTTTCCTGGGTTTCTCCCATTTATACATGTGGTTAAATTTCTTTTGATTTTCTCTTGTTATTCTTTCATATGTCCATTTAATTCCTAGACCAGCCAGAAGAACCTAGGAGAGTAGAGGAATATTTCTTCCTTTCCTACAGTTTCAAACAGTGTATTTCCAAACTTCAGAAGTCACTTGAAAAAACAAATAAATAAACACAGTTAATTTTGGTCATTGTGTTTAAACTTAGTAAAGTCTTTCAGAACCAATTTAGAAAAAAAAAGGAAGAAAACTTCTAAGCTAAAGATAGCAATAAACAGATGACCTAGCAATTTTCTTTATTTTCTGGCATTTTTCCTGATCTTTTAAGAGAAAAGGAGGCAACTGGGAGGAAAAGAAGAAACCCAAGGGCACATTTTAGGGTCAGAACTGATTCAATGCAACTTATCCTGCCTTAATCATCTGTAGTTAAAGTAACGAAGAGCATTGTTAATATGCTCATCCCAAAACTACCATAAGATCCTAAGTTGAGGAAACAAGATTGATTGGTGCTTACAATATTGTGCTTGCTTGGAGCAAAGAAGGAAATACAGACATTTTATAAAGTTCTTCAGTAATGATTGAAAGAAAGAGGGCTTCTGATTATTATCACTTGAGTAATCAGAAATTTCAGCTATTAGGATGCTCCATTTACTGTTCATTCTGGAGAATCAAAGTATTCTTGCATAGTGTTAGACATTACGTCTGAAATCATCCAGAGAGGTTCACAACCCATCTGATGTATCCTCCATCCACAGTTCATCATCATCATCAAAGTGAACATCTCCATAAAAACCCAGCCCTGGTCGATGGGCAGGAACCAAAACTTTTCCTAGTCCATCAAAATTTTCAAAGTCTCCATTTCTCTCTTTCCAGTACAGAAAAAAATTAACAGAAAATAAGTATTTAGAATTTCCTTTCGCCCTTTTTCAATAAGACCACACCAGGTAAATGAATATATTTTATTTCATTACCTTTAACTGCAAAAATCCTCACTTATACGTAGTTCAATTCTTTGGAAAACTGGCAAGCTATCAATTGTCAACATCCAGCAACCTCTGATTCTAAGATTGTAGATATACACACATGATCCTGGATCAGCTGTGACAGGATACTAACTACAATATTTTGCAACTTCTTCTTTTATTGGAAACTCTTGATTTTATTATACATTGGGTTATTGTGCCAAATCACGGACTAAGAACAAGTGAGGAGTCCACCTATTTTCCCATTATTTTTAATACCAGTTTGACTGCTTCAGAATGAGAACACAGTGTATTGCTGAGTTTTTATCCATTTTATTTCTCTCCCAGTAAGTTAGCTAAATATTTTAGGTCACTGGTCCTTGCTGTAAAAAAGACTATCAGCTGAAGGAGGCAAAGCATCAAAGTAAGGGTTAGACATATCTCAGAATCGTGGCTTCAGTGTTTGCTATAAATTTTAGAAAGCATGATTATGTATTGTAACCTAAAATAGCCATTATTATTAATAATAGTTTGATACATAAAATAATGTTACTATATTTTCAATTTGGATTAAGGTTCATTCTTGGGTTGGTTCATTAGTGTGGTGGACATTTTTGGTGAGAAGATGCTTGTTAGGGAGGAGAATAACTGTGATGAAGAATTCTGGCCTTAGGAGAATGTGGGGAAGAAAAGGCAACTATCATTTATTCAGTATTTTCTATGTGGCAGGCTTTATGCTTGGTGATTTAACCTTGATCATCCTCATGACAACCATGGGAGTTAGTATTATTTTCCCTTTATCACAAATAGGAAATTAAGATTGAGAAAGGTCAAGTTATTTTCTTAGAGAGTTGAGTGGCAGAGCACATCATCTGGCTTTGCACTACAATTTACTGGCCAGAATGCTGCCTCTTCAAGACACATGGGACAGGCCTAGAAAAAAAAGCTACTACTTCCCTCTCTAGTTGTGTTTGGGGCTAAATTATCCAAATAGCCTCCAAATAGAAAAGCGAGAGTTTTGGTTAAAACCAAACAAAATACAAATAAATGAATACTCTACTTTTCAGTGCATCTGGGGTCATAGAAAGTAAGGGAAATCTCCAAACACTGCTCCCCAGTCATTCCATACCAAGATTCTAAGTCTGTATTGATTTGCTCCAGTAAAGAAATCATGTCCAAGGGCCCATGCTGTGGCTGAGTGGTTAAAGTTCTGTGCATTCCGTTTCAGTGGCCCAGGGTTTGCAGGTTTGGATCCCGGGTGTGGACATACTCCACTCGTCAGCCATGCTGTGGAGGCATCCCACATACAATGTAGAGGAAGACTGGCACAGATGTTAGATCAGGGTGAATCTTCTTCACCAAAAAAAAGTCATGTCTGTCACAGAGTAACTGAAATGAGAGCTACTTGCTGGGTGAGTTTATAGAAATCTACCATCATCCACCATGATCCATTTGGTTTCTGCAAGGGCTGGAATGATAAATCGAATGGGGTTATGATAAGGACCACCTCCCCTGTTGCTTTTAAGTCTTTGGTGGTATCACCAGTCTGTGAAATCCTTTCAGGATGTGGTATTGTTTTTTGTTGTTTCTGATGCAGCATCTTGTTTAGAGATGTTTAAGGAGGAGAAGTTTCAGGGGCTTCCAGTTGGTCCATCCTATCATAAATTTCTTGCTCTACAAGTCAGGGAAACAAGAGGAGAGTCTGACCAAGAAAACAGCCACAGGATCAGTTTGTGGACCCATTGGACCCACTGTGAACAGATCTTGAGTCAGAATTTCATAGGCTCTTTTCCAAACCAGAAGATCAACTTGCTATTTTGGGACCTCTGATATCCATGCCAGTCCAGATCTAGTATCCAACTGTCTTTCGAAAATCTGGGTACTTCTCTCTCCCCAAAGCACAGTTACATTGGTAAGTGGCCACCGGTCTCTTTGTGGGGATAATTTACTACACACACATACACACACACAAGCACACGAGGCTAAGTGCCTGTTATGGGCTAAATTCTGTCTCCCCCAAAATTAATATGTTGGAATCCTAACTCCCAGTACCTCAGGATGGGTCTTCATTTGGAGATAGAGTCTTTAAAAAGGCAATTACATTAAAATGAGTTCATTTGGGTGTCCCTAATCCAATAGAACTCATGTCCTTATTAGAAGAGGAGATTAGGACACCAACACGTACAGAGGGAAGACCATATGAAGACGCAGGGAGAAGAAAGCCATCTACAAGCTAAGGAGAGAGGTCCCAGAAAAACCCAATCCTATTAACACCTTATCTCAGACTTCTAGCCTGCAGAATCATGAGAAAATAAATTTCTGTTGTTTTAGCCACCCAGGCTATGGGATTTATTACAGCAGCCACAGCAAACTAATACAGTCCCTTTGAAGAAAGATCTTTCTAATGTAGTAGCATATATATATTTGTGTGTGTTTGTGTGTGTGTGTATGTGTATGTATACGTGAAGAAAGTTCCTTCTTCAAGGAGATCTAGATTCCTCTGCAATCAATGGGTCTTGAATCTGTAATCTTTTTAGATTTGGAAAGAAATGAGAAATGAGGATTTTCTATTGCAGTAACTGATATCAGCTTACTGCTTGCCAGTTCTCAATTTTTTAAAATATAAGTTTAGCAGTACCTTTATTGGCCATTCATCTACTCACTACTAGACACACATGATCTATGGAGATCAAGGCCGTCTGGTAGCTGTTCCAGCCTCTCTGTTCATTAGAGTTGCTTTCATTTTCCTTGCCTCTGATGGTTAAGTGCTGCCACTTGTCCTTCAACATTCTGAGATCCCATCATCCCAAATGCACTACAGAGCCTAATTCCAAGTAACACCTCATACTATCACCCCCAGCCCACAGAGAACAACCAACATTGTATATTCTGAGACACCAGTACGTCCCCTCACTAGTGTGTTCCTTACAGCCTCAGTGAAGGGAGTGCCCTCTGGGCCTCCTGAGGGAAGAGTCCAGTAGGGGGGTTCTTCAATCTCACAATAAATCCATTCTAAGGTTTCCATCTCCCTATGCCTTCTGACTCCTTCCTTAATACAACGCCATAGAAGTCTGGCATCTCTACCTCAGATACGATAGGACATCTTTGTGTCCAAGATTTTGAAGCCACATCAGTAGAGTATTGGACAAACTTTTGTTTTCTTTGCCAGAATATCAACTTCTCGAGTCATAAATGGATGCATTGTGTTAATAAATTCTTCTCTATCCAGCGTTTTATTCCCCTACCCCAGATGAATGTCTTTAAGATCCACTCCCACACATGCTCCCCTGGTTCCTGATGATACTTAAGGGGCAGATCCTCTAATTCCTCTGGTTTGTGGGTGATTTGCTCCCATAGCTAGGATTTGAACTATGCTGAGACCTGACCTTAGTCATTTGCCTGAAAACAATGAGGGAGGAAGCGATTTGGGAGGAGGACAAATGTTATCTGGTCAGGTATTGATTCAGGTAAGGTTTTTGTTGATTCTCTATGCAAGGGTAGGTTCCTCACCTCCGGCAAGAAGGAGGTACTACTTCTACTCATGTGGAGCTCTCAGGGAAATTTAGATGTTCAAGATTTCCAAGTCTGTCCACCTATTATTCCAGATAGAAAGTATCTAACTTTGCAGTTAGGTCTGGGACTGATTTTCAGCCCCGTCTATAGTAGACAAGGACTTCCTAAAATGTTGGTGTTAATTTTGGCTTCCACAGTGTGACTTGAGTTGATATTTAGCTGTCCTGAGCCGATTATTTTCTTTTATCCATTTCCCAGTGCAGTTAACCAGGCCACTCCACATTTCCTATAATTACCATTCTTTTCATACTACTGAAGTGTCACAGTCACCTGATAACCCAACACCTTACCATTCAACTTTATCTCTTCACAATCAACCACAAATGAGGATCTTAGTAACTGTGATGCCATTACATACCAAGGGTTATCACTACCCCACTTCCAGCACAAAATAACTTAATCTAGTATTCCTAGAAAGCAGAGCCTGAGATAGAAGTTTAAGTGTAAGTACCTATTGAGGCATGTGATCCAAAGAGTTGGATTGAGGGCCAGGGAAAGCAAAGCAGGGGAACTGAGAGAGACAATACAAAGATGAATTGTCAGCTGGCCAGAGATATGGGAAATGCTTTGCTTAGTAGGAGCTGTCTGAGGACCCACTTGAAATATGTCTTAGGGACATCTTTCTGAGGAAAGAAAGGGAGATGCATTTACTCATTCATTCCTCTCACATGGGTAAACTATTTGCTCCACAAATGATTGCTCTTCTTACTTCCCGTTTGCATAGGCCTGAGTTCTGAGGGAGTTCCACAGCAAAGCGTGATGCAACATCAACAGAAAAGGCAGAAAAGCCCTAGGGCAGGAAGCAAGAAGCACATTGCACAGGCCCAATGAAAACAGCTATTAGTTTAGAAGCTGGTTTGAACCCGTACAGAGCCGATCACCACCAGTTCATCCATACTCCTGGCTACTATGACAGTTGTCCCCTGTTCCTTTGCCAAATGGGAGCCATCTTGCTGGGGGACTACACCCCTCTCCCTAAACCAGACCTCAACTGATGACTGATTGACAAAATGGTGAAAAAGGCTAGTTCTTTTGCCTCAAGGTGGAACTAACTATGATTCAATTTTTGCTCCAGAGCTCCTCACTCATGAGATCACAGCAATCTGTGTCTGAGACCACATTTTTAGCCTTCTTTGGCTTTTTCCTTGCTCTAAAATGTTTCTCTCACTCTTCTTTTCCTGAGAGCACTCCTCTCCCGATGATCACACCAAAGAATTTCTATTTCACGTTCTGATTCCGGTGAACTAAGCTAAGATAGAGTTAAGCAGTGATGGGAGGGACTCAAGGGGGTCTGCTATGGTGCTAGTAATGTCCTAATTCTTGAGCTGAGTGAGGGTTACATGGTGTTGTTAATTTCATGATAACTCATTGATACGAACATTTATAATATGTACATTTTTCTGCATTTATGTTATACTTTAATATAAAAATATTTATTAGAGAGAAAGAGAGAGAGAGAGACTTGGCCAAAGGAGAAGTCACACTGCTCTCTCTCCAAATTCTTGAGTTGAGAACTAACTGCCTGCTTCAGAATGATGAGCACTTCAAAATATTCTCAAGACTCTCTATGTCCTTGGAAAGTCTGCAAATGCCCTGAGCACCCTCTGAGCTCTCATAAAACTCGTGGGGCTTGGAAACTATCGGCATGGCTCCTGCCTACATTAATATCCTCCCAAATTAAGCATGACGAACTAGATAACGTGTGTTTAGAAAAACTAGATTATGCAGCTTTAACAAAATCTAAAATCTTAGTGGCTTAGCACGAGAAAAGTTTATTTCTTAGGCAAACTCTACTGAGGCTTGGGGTAACTGTTTGGAGTGGTGGCCCAGCAATCAGGCTTCTTCCATCTTGTGGAAGTGCTCTCAAGATGTGTTTTTACAATCACCACAGCAGAGAAGGGAGAGCACGGAGAAATTGGCACCAGCAAGCACATGATTCCATCTGGAAGTGATATTGGTCACTTCTGGGGACAATCCACTGGCCAGGACTAGCCAGATGCCATTGCCTACCTCCCATCTCCTCAACAACTGCAGGGAATTGGACTGTGGGAAAACACAACCCTCCCCTGAGTTGCATGCGCTCAGAAGGAGACAACGGGATACACCCTTAGAAAGTTCTACTATGCTGTCCCTGCTTTTACCTAAAACCAATTTTGGAATCCGTATATGGGACATGGGAAATAGATTTTTTCTCCTTCTTTATGATATAAACTCCATGAGAATGGAGAATATTTGAACTTTTTGTATATCCTAATTTCTAAGATGAATATTTTGCATATTTGTCTACTTCCCATTTCAAATTTGAAAATTAATCTCTACAAGTGAGACTTCATAATCAGGGAATAACAATATAGTAACTTAAATATAATAGAAAGTTTATAAAACAGTAGAGACAAGGATGGCTTTATTCCAAACATAAAAGATTTTATTTTCCGTAACAAAAATTATCCCTTGCATATTAGGATAATACTAGTAGCAGCTCAGATGTTCTTGAGCTGCTTTTCCTCTGGTGAAGACTCGTATCTCTTGTTTCTTTCTCTCCATCTCTGAGGCTGCTCTCCAGTATCAATGTCAGAGTCTTCTACTTTGGAAAAGAGCTTCTCTCTTTGCAAAATTGGCCCATATGAATCCGTAAATCAGAACTTGACCTTCCTTCACCCTCATTGGTGGAAGTAAATTATAGCAGTACACGAAACATTGCATTCTAAATTGTAAAAAATATTTGCAGAATGAGATATAAATAAGATTATACGTAACAGCTCTGTATTTTATTTAAATGTATGGCTCTTCAGGAAAACATCTTCCTTGGGTTCTCAAAATATATTTTTCTGTTCAACTTTGTAACGGTCAATTTTTTCTGCAGTTGAACCAG